GGTGTGGCCTTGTTATATTGTTGGGGGAAGTGTGTCATTAGGGGTGAGCTTTGTGGTCTCAGAAGCTCAAACCAAGCTTAGTGTGTATCAGTCTCTTCCTGCTGCCTGCAGACCCAGACGTGGACCTCTCAGCTCCTCTCCAGCACCATGTCTGTCTGTGTGCTGCCATACGGACGACAGACTAAACCTTTGAACTGTAAGCCCGCCCCAATTAAATGTTTTTCTTTATAAGAATGGCTTTGGTCATGGTGTCTCTTCACAGCAATAAAACCCTAACTATGGCAACACCTGACGTACTACTCTGCTTTATGCATACATGTGCATGGGTGTGTGCAAGCACGCTCACACCCACACAAACAAAATCAAATAGAGGTCATTAAATGTTGTTTCACAGATGAACCTTTCTACCTTTGTTTTATTTCAAGACTAATAATGCTAATTCATTTGTTTTTATTTCGGGGGCAAGTTAGTGAGTTCAGGATAGTGCGTGTGCTCGCACACACACACATGTGTGTGCGCGCACCCCTTCCTTCCTCCATGTATCTATCCAACCACAGATTTACCAAGTATGCACATTTTCTGTGAGACATCAGTTGCTCAGCCGAATGCTCATTGCTTCAACATAAGACAGACAGTTGCAACCGTTTGGTTACAGCTCAATGTTTTCATGGCTCTCCAGGTCTTCATGCCCTCCTCTTTGGCATCCCTCCCACTCACGCCACTACTTAAAATTCTAAACTTTTCCATCTCTTTTCTTCATTAACAGTAATTTATTGAGGCGAACGGCCAGGACTGCTACACAGGGAAACCCTGTCTCGAAAAATGAAACAAAAACAAAAAATTCTTTTACGTGCCCATGTGTTCACAAAAGCTTAGTAGCTGCTTGCTTAGCCTTTTAGAAAATGCTTTGAGAGTCTGAAAAACAGTATGCACTTGTATTAAAGAAAGTGTCCATACTTTTTTTTTAAAAAGAAACTAACAACAAAAAGCACCCCAAACAAAACAAAGTCCCCACAAAAAAAAAAAAAATCAATAATAGGGGCTGGAAAGATGCTCAACAGCTAAGAACTCTTGCTGCTTATATGGAGGACCTGAGCTGTTATCAGCACTGATGCTGGATGGCTCATGACTGCCTATGACCAGTCTCAGGGTGTCTGACACTCTTTTCTGGCTTCTGTGGATACACACACAGATAAACATAGATACACAGGAATAAAAAAAAGTCTTTAAAAAAACTAAACTTCCTTTCCTTCTTAGAGCCAGTGTCTCATGTGACCCTGGCTGTCCTGGAACTCCCTCTGTAGACCAGGCTGGACTTGAATACAGAGATCCATCTGCCTCTGCTTCCTGAACAATGGAATTAAAGGCGTTTGACACCACCTCAGCCTGAATACCATTTTCGAATACCCTTTTTGCTGAACAGAATTCATTTGAAATCCAGTCTTAAGAAATGAGTAGATCAAGCTGATGTGCCCTAGATCTCCCAGGAATCGGAGAACCTTTGCCTTCCCTAATATGCCACTTCCTTGGCCCTGTCATTAACTAGGTCAGAGTGATCCTTGGCTCTATTTTATGCTCCAGAAAATGCTGCCAACTGACTAGTCACATTATATGTTGTTAAATTGCTAACTTCCATGTATGTGATATCCAGAGAGCAGGCTGGTCACTAGAGAAACATGGGCCATTGAGGACGTAGCTCCAGCATACACTTGACCAATAACTGCAGGTGCTCCAGCTCTCAGCACAACAGTAAAGCAATTGTCAGTCCTTGCAATTTATTCCCACATAGTCAAGTATACCATAGTAAGAATGGATATGTCCCAAGGGGGCAGAATATTCAAAAATAATTAATTGATTGCAACAAAAGATCTATTAGGTAGCTAAAAATCTCCAGCCATTGTTGATTGGGTACATTTGCAAAAACTTTGAGAGGTGTTATAAAAATGAAACATGAGCTGGGAGGTGGCGGCCCACACCTTTAATCCCAGCGTTCAGGAAGCAGAGGCAGGAGGATCTCTCTGAGTTCAAGGCCAGACTGGTCTACGAAGCAAGTTCCAGGACAGCCAAAGCTGTTACACAGAGAAACCCTGTCTCGAAAACCCAAAAAAGAAAAGAGAAAGAAATAAAGGAAGGAAGGAAGGAAAGAAGGAAGGAAGGGAGGGAGGGAGGGAGGGAGGGAGGGAGGAAGGAAGGAAGGAAGGAAGGAAGGAAGAAAAAGTTTGCTTTTACAGAAGCCCTTACGAGTAAGGAATGGAATCACATGGGCGAAAACTGCTGACTTCAGCAGTCTTGAAGGGGACAAAAGACTGGAAAGGAGAGACCAGGATGACTCAGCTCCATGGAAGCCATAAGCTGGCCAGCCAGGAAGGGGTCCTGGTATCTGGATACACTCTTTAACAAAAAACCCTAGTGTCATTTTTCTTGCTACAGGTCCCTTCCTTTCCCTGTATCTGAGAACAGTTCAAACCTAGAAAACATATGTGTTATTTGCCCAGAAACCAAAGGGAGATGAGCAGGGCTGATAGCCAAGATACAAACAGATCAAAAGCCAAATGCTATTTAGTCCACCTCAGGCAGAAGCAGTAATTGAATTAAACTTCCTCTAAACATGGTAAGTTTGGGGCTCTTAAAGCCAGACACAAAGAGCCAGGTTAGAGTGAGCTGCTAAATAAATGGATTCATTGAGCCTCCTCCCCTCCCCCATGGTGAGTGTGATAAGCTGGCGATTGCTTCTATCACTCCACTGCCCAGCTGAAAACTGATTAAGCTACTTATGGGACTCTGGGGGCTAATGGCCTGGCCCACCAAGAACACTGCTGTCACTGACTTTAAGTAAGCTGCTTGGCATGTATGGTTTGAATATCACAAGAAGGAAAAAGAAAGGGCCGTGTGGGGAGACAGCAGGGTATGGGGAAGCTGTAAGAAGAAGGAGCTATTATTCCAAATGGATACACGACACTGACACCCTAAAATGAATATGAAATTACTGCCAATTCTCTCTCCTCTGACACCAAAGCTCGTTTTGAAGGGCCTCCTTAAAGGGGAGCTGCTGTTTTTTTATACCTCCTTTAAAAAAATGTCTGGTGCCTTTAAACACACTTGTCTGGGCCCTCAGCTACCATGACCAGACAGACCACTAAGATACACACACCACACACACACACACACACACACACACACACACACACACAATTCAATCAGTTTGCTCCTAGAATATCACCATGTGAAAGTAGTTGGAGACGAACCCCGCCAGGCCCTGGCCAGCCGATTCCATGGGTGCTTGCATATGGGAAAGGTGGGCAGGACTGAAGGAGCAAGAAGCTCTAAATTTGACAAGGAGTATAGACTAACCCTAGCCTTCTCTCAGGCCTGTCCAACTAAATGCTTTGTTATTTCTTCCATTCAAAATAGCTGTCTTATCTCCAAATGAAATGGAACAAAAAAGCCTTAATTTTTAAACCCCAAAAAAGACATAAACCAGAAACCTTGAAAAGTAACTTAAAGTCTAAAAACTGACTGAAGGACAAGGGTGAGTTTTTAAGCTGAGCTCATTTCTTCTGGGTAAAATAGACAGAGGAAAACAAGGATGGACTCACAGCCATTTTAGAATCCAGAAAGTTGTCACAATTATTTTTTGATTGGCTCTTCCAGATTCCGTATTTGTTTAGAAAGTAAAGCAATGCTTTCATTCACTGTCTAGCAGCTTCTTAGGGAGAGGGTGTTGATTTAAATGATTAACCAAAGCTAAGCGTACTCAGAACTTAGGGCTAAGCACACAAAACCTTGGTTTCTTCCTGGCTCTAACCTGGTCAATCATTAAAAGTACATGCACTAACAAAATCGTAAAGGCTGGTTTTGACTCTCTTCTGTGCTCTGTTATGCTTTATTAAACTTTAAAAGTCACTCAACTGTTAGATTTCAGCACATCTGAAGGCTTTGTGCATTCACTCACTGCCTTTCCCATATCTTTTTATTCTTCACATAATTTATAGCTGAAATATTCACATCACATTAAATTCATGATTTTAAAGAAAACAATCAACTTATCTTTGTTATATTCACAAGGTCTCATCACTATCTAGAGTTCAGTCCTGGGAGAGATCCACGTCTATTGGCAGTCTCTCCTCACCTCCATTCTTTCCCCACTCATCTATTTCCTGTCACTATCAATTTGCTCGTTTTGGACACGCCATTGTTACAATGATACATATTTTTCCCTCTCTGGATTCTCAGCATGACCTTTCAAAGGCTCATCCATGTTGTAGTGTGCATCACTCCTTTTTGTGGCTAGATAATGTTATATAATAATGATGAACATCTGGGTTGTTCCCCCCTTTTTAATCTTCCATCGAAACAGGGTTTCTTGGCAGCTTTGGATTCTGTCCTGGAACTTGCTCTCTAGACCAGGCTGGTCTTGAACTCACAAAGATCCACCTGCCTCTGCCTCCCGAGCGTAGGCATTAAAGGTGTGTGCCACTACTGCTCAACCTGTTGCCCACTTTTTTTTTCTATTGTGAATCATGTTGCACTTGGGATTCTTGCAAAGGTTTTTTTCATTTGTTTTGGGGTCAGGGTTTTGCTATGCTAGCCATGGAGCTGGGCTGCCTTGGTCTCCTATGTAGCTGGAACTACAAGGGCATATCACCCTACCCAGCATTTCTGTATGTATGTTTTTCATTGTCTTGAGCATATACTTGGGAGTGGAATCTCTGGATTAAATGGTAACTCTAACCTTTTGAGAGATGCTAAACTGCTTTCCAAATGGCTGTCCTTAACACCCCACAATTGATAAATGAGAGCTCCAGTGACTCTCCATTCTTGCCAGTGTTTGTCATTGTCTCATAGTATCTTTTTATACTAAATCTCCCTCTTATTCTGAATAAATTTAATTGAATGTGAAGAAACTACCACAATGACAGGTTAATTCTGTTCTAAAGCCATAATCCACAAAGTGACTTCTGACAGAAAACAAAACTGAAAAGGCCCATCTGCACACTTACCTGCTGCAGGTCAGCAAGAGAGTACAGGTGGATCTGTTGCAGGAGGTATTCTCTGGGGAAAATTCTGGAAGCAAAGCAGATACACAAGTGATCAATGGTGCTACCAGACACATTTTTTCCCATGTTAAATCTCATTCAGAATTCCCTTCCTCTGCCCACAGCCTTCCCCCTTTCACCTCTGTTTATGTTCCTAACCCTCTGAGAAACCTCTAACACTACCCTTTCCTTTGATACGTTTCTTTGTAACATAAATGCTATAAAAATATGAATTTTCACTTCTGATGCTATCTGAAATGCTATAGTATTATGTAGTATACTAGGACACATCTGATTTTTGTTGTTTTGTTTTTGATCTTCTTGTTTTTGGAGATAAGTTTTTGGTAGTAGCCCACTGTCGCCTTAACTCAAAATCCTCCTGCTTTAGCCTGGACAGATACTGGGATTACAGGAGTGTACCAATATGCCTGGCCCTGTTTCTGGTTTCCTATACTAGTTATGGCTCTAACAAATATTGTGTCTTACATGCATCTCAAACCCAGCTTCCATGCTGGCCTATGCTGGTAACAAGGACAACTGAACTTGCAATCTCTAACATCTTTGTAGCTATAACAATAATGTGCTGGTTTGAATAAAAATGGTACCAATAGGCCATTTGTTTGGAGATTGGTCACCTTTTGGTAGAACTGTTTGGGAAGGATTAGTGGGCATGGTCTTGTTAAAGGAGGTGTTGTCATTAGGGGTAGATTTTGAGGTCATTCCCAGTGTGCCTCTCTCTTGATCTTCTGCTTGTGTATCAAGATGTGAGCTCTCAGCTGTCCCTGTTGTCATGCCCCTGCTTTGCCATCGTGGACCCTAACCCTCTGAAAATGCAGGCCCAATTAAATGCTTTCTTTTAAAAATTGCCTTATTGTTACAGCAATAGAAAAGTAATTAATACAACTGTATATCTAAACTGACTAATTTTGGAGTTAAGAAATATTAGAGTGGCAACCTGTGTGTTTCTCTTTAAAACCCTCTGGGAAGAGATAGTCCTACTGATGCCACATTAATGATATAGTCTCTTAAGGGCATACTGGAATTACCTTTAGATTTTGGGCACAGATAGTAACAACAGTATAAAACTGTAAACCGAGACTCTCCAGTAAATTTCATTAGCTGTTGTCAATTTCTAGGATCTAGACAGATGGCAGTGAGTGAATAAGAAACAATAATTATGAGTAAGCCGCTCCAGGAAAGGGAGCAAAGTAGAAATAGTTAGGGCTGGAGAGATGGCTCAGAGGTTAAGAGCACTGACTGCTCTTCCAGAGGTCCTAAGTTCAATTCCCAGTGACCACTTGGTGGCTTACAACCATCTGTTATGAGATTTGGAACCCTTTTCTGGTGTGCGGGATATGCATGGAGGCAGAATGTTGTATACTTAATAAATAAATAAAATCTTAAAAAAAATTAGAGATAGAAACACCACACACACACACACAGACACACACACACACAGACACACACACACACAGACACACACACACACACACACACACACACACACACACACCTATAATCTCAATATTTGGAGGTTAAAGAAAGGGAATCTTGAGTTGGATGTCAACTTGGACCTATAATGAGACCCTGACTCAAAAGAAAAAACAAACAAACAAACAACAAAAAAGGAAATCATACATACAAATCAAATCCAAACTCAAACTCACAAGTCTGTCTTACTTGGTACTATACAATAATCTTGTAGTTTGGTTATGAGCTTCAGCCTTTAATGGCTGCACTCTCCTTCCAGCCCTATCTTGTATTTGAAATGAAACCACCAACTTATTCAACTAACATGTATGACTACCCATTAGGTGCCAAGCACCAGCAAGTCTCCGTATCTGAGTTCAAGAAGCATGGAGCTAAGTAAGGCTAAAGGATATAAACGAACTGGTAATTAGACAACAGTCTGGAAACAGAAAATGTTAGAACCAAAGCATAGGACATAGCCTTTTAGAAAGGCAAATCCCAACTCTGGCTACCCATCAGAATCACTGGGGCAGTTTTAGGAAATGAACACATACACAGGGAGAGAATAGAAGTGATTGTTAAGCAAAAATTCTATTACTACCACAGCCAAGGTTTAGAAGCCCTGGCCTAATATATAACTTGCTGGGAAATTCATTTTTGAGTCTTCCAGTTTTAAGGATAGACAGGTTAGTTGCCAAACTCTAGAGGTGAACATAGTTAGTTCTCTGTCTATCTAATGCCAACCAAGCAAATACTATATACCAGGCACTGTACTACAATACTGAAGAAACAGATAATGAATCTGCTGAACAAAAATTTGGCTCACGGAGGACCAAATAGCTACATTCTAGGTTGGAACTGTAGGAAAGTAGAGTAGGAATAGAAAAGTTCTGCTTCAAAACACAGCTCCATCCACAGACCAAGTGGCGAGGACATTGCATTCAGGGAAATAGAACCAGGGTCCTGAGGCCAGGCTCCCTTCATCTCCAATGGTCCAGGGCTGATCTGTGGCAGGAAGCAGAGCACAAGCCCTGTGCAGCTGGCAGTAGATAGGGAAAGTGCTGCCACAGTGCAGAAGTTTTCCTAGAGAAAGGCCCCTGTTGTGAAAAGTGGGCCATAGTTTGAGGGATCAAGGGATACAGCCAACCTCCACTTCATTAACACACAGGACAGAGGTGATCAAGGCACCATTCCTCATTTTAAGCACCAATAACAAACAGTAAGAGGAGCTCACTTTTAACTCAGCACACATAATTTCACCCTGCCTTGACGGCTCTTCTGAGCATTAAGTATGGGATCCATTTTACAGAACAAGAAATGGGCTCAGAGGTAAACACTAATGTGATCTGTCTCATGAAGCTGGGATTCAAAGTCAAGAATCTCTAAGGACAAAGGACTGTGCTCTTTCCAGATTCTTGGAGTTGGGGACAGGAAGGAGTGAGGTGGATTTAGCTATTGTATTTGTGTTCTTTGGCATAATTGTGTATTATTTTTTTAGGGCAGCAGCAAAATAATCACTGACCTTTGTGCACACATGAATGTGTGTGCACGTTGTGTGTGCAAGCATGTGCATGTGGAGGCCAGAGATTGATTGCTCTTCACCAATTGTTTTTAGGCAGGGTCTCTCATTGGCCTTGGGCTTACCAACTTGGTTGAGCTGGCTGGCCAGTACACCTCAGAGATTCTCTGGTCTCTGCCTCCCCAGAGCAGGGATCACAGGTATGCCTGGCTGCTACCAACTTTTTACATGGGTGCTGGGGACCCAATCTCAAGTCCTCATGCATACATAGCAGTATTTTGCCAAAGTAGGGCATCTCCTATCCTGGTCTGGTCTGGTTTTGTTTTGTTTTTCTTTTTTGAGAGACTGGTTTTTCTATGTTAGGCTGGTCTCCACTTGTATACCTCCTAAGTTCAGCCAGTGCAGGTGTACCTCAGTATAGCTGTTCCTGTGCCTCCTTTCTAAGGGCAACAGAGAAGACAGAGAGAATGTAGCAGGTATTCCTGACAAGATATTAGCTCTTTCTAGGGAAATGACAAAGGGATATAGAAAGGAGAAGGTTTACACATATAAGGAACTTTTCTAAGTTCTGACAACATTTAGAATAAGTGAAAGTGAGGAAGATGTCAAAGATGACTCTGAGGTCTCCAGTGCAGGGGACTAGACAGTGATGCCACTGGCCAGCATGGGATCAGCCTATCAAGAAGGAGGATGACCTTGTTATATCTCTGTGTGCTAAACATCCAGAGACAGACAGCGGGTAAGGGACGTCTTACATCAGCACAGAGTAGATTGCTGGAGCTGTGGGGATTGATGGAATAGATGGAACAGAAACCAAAGGGGAAGGGAGATGAAAATAGATAAGGGTTAATTCTTTATATTACAATGTCTAGAACTATCAAAATGTATATTTTGATATTCTGCAATTTTTCTCATGCAGGAAAAATTATGTCTTGAAAAGGACATTCATACATAAGTTGGTGTCTATGTTTCCTTGTTGTTTGTAAAATACTCATAGCCTTAGCTGGGTGGTGGTGGCACCCAGAAGCAGGCAGATCTCCAAGTTCCAGGACAGCCAGGGCTACACAAAGAAAACATGTCTATAAAAACCAAAAAATAAATAATTAAATAATTAAATAATTAAATAATTAAAAAGCTCATATCCTTGTAGCATTGATCCAGCTTCCCCAAATGTTTACAACCATAGGATAGTGGTCAAAACCAAACAATTAATGACTATGGAAGTTACATCATTTATTCAAATTCCAATTATTTCACTTATGTTGTTCATTCATTCCAGGATCCTTTCCAGAATATAACACTGTATTTATGGATTGGGGTCTTGTTGTTTGGACATTGTTAAGTATTTGCAGGTCACTTGAGACCCAAACACATGCAGAAAAGAAAAATCTAGGACATGGTTGTTTAGTGGGGTTTTATGGGTAGCAATATGCAATATCATATGCTAATGGGGAAGACAGAGGGTGCTGGGAGTGGATGGAAGGAAGGAATCACCATTTTGAAAGGTAAATGCTTAATAATGAAGTCTCTTAAGTAAAAGCAACAAGGCAGCAGTGCCTGATACAGTAACACAAACGTGTGGGCTGGACAGTGCTCTCGCCGTTCCAACTGACCTTCTCCATTATTGCAGAGACGTTTCAGTCAGTTTAGGAGGACTGAAGGAAGCTAGCTGGCTGACATAATCTACAGCAGCTGCAACCTGTTATATTTTGATACTTAAAACTCTTTCTGGCCTAAAATCCTAACATGTCTATGGTTAGAATTAGATAGGGGGCAATGATTATTCATAAACTAAATCATCCTGGCATGCCCTTGAATTCCACTAGACAGCCAGAGTCCTTAGACTTGTGTTTTACCTGCAATCAGGCAGGTTTTATGTAAGTGCTGAGTTTGGTGCTTTAATGAAAACAACTGATGAGCAATGAAGAGAATTTCCAGTTCCTTCCTCCTGGGTTCTTCTTCCTTCTGAGCCCTGTTATTCTTTTCTACTCCTTCAGCATTGGTGTACAGCTGAAGGTACTTCTGCGTCTACTTAATGT